ATCAAAACATTCTTTTTTTCTTAACAATTATATTCTTGTTATACAATATGCATCCATGGGCTCTCTGCACAGTATCTTTTCTCTATAGCACAAATGAAATGGAAAAATAAATTAAAATTATTGCATTGTATTGCTTCTGATCTTCAGACAATTCATTCTCAAGAACTCATTCACCGAGATTTACATAGCGGCAATATCTTACTAGAAAGTTTATGTGTGCATATATCACTGATTTAGGGCTTTCGGATCAAAAAATAACACCATCCGTACGGATAAGGATTTGGTCACATGGTAATCCGGATAATCTGGATTTGAACAGATCGCATCTCTAAGCAGAAAATAAACGTAAATTAGCCAATCGTATGAATTTCTTACCATAATAACCGGGTCAACCGGGTCAACCGGGTTACTCGAGTCATCTAGAGCAACTCGGTTTGTGACCCGCTTAATAATTTTGTAAACGGGTGGGTGTTAAACCGGAGCTTAAACTTTATGCGGGTCCAATCTCTATTCGTCATCTTCCATTTCATAATCTTCGTCTTCATTCATGACTACGGATGTCAATTTTTCACGTGCGAAAGATGGCTCTACAAGAATATGAGGAGACATCTCGAAAGAAAATGCCAAGTCGCGAGCAGTTATGGTTCTCTTTTCTTGGCTCGTTGTGGCGGCTCGACTTCTATAATCTGCATTTCGCATTCCAGATGAGTTGATTCCTAATGAATTACCGGATCGAGTCTTTTGCAAAACATTGCCAATAATATTCTTAAGATGTGACTATTAGAGTAAATTATACAATGTTAGCAATCAAGCTATACTATATAAGAATTTTAAAAATAAATAAATAAAAATGAAACAAACCTCCAATCCATAATTGAGCAAGCTTGCACAATCTTCCGAAATATTTTGCAAGCCATTCGCTCGTGCTATCTCTAAAATCCTGCCATATAAAGTATTAGAATCGGGTAATGCTTTCATTTCTCGACAAGTCTGAACACGTTCTGGATTGACTATGATTGTATATTGCTATAAGCTTAATGTTTGTAACGAATGGAACTATCTTAAGCACTTGAAATCCAATCTTACGTTGTGGCTTAATAACATTTTGTTGATCATTGTAATCAAATAATGGTAACTGCTCTGACCTTGGTACCGGTAAGACGGTAGTCATAGGGTCTGGCATCGTTGTAACTCCATTTAAGTCCTATAATATAGAATTGCATAATATTTTTCGTTCGTAGATAATAATACAGATTGTGTAAATAAAATTATTAAAATAATCAGAAACCTATTTTAAATATATCGCCGAGTGAAATTACTATCAACCTTTCTTAAACTTTTAATTCTCTCTCGTTCTTCTCGAGGTAACGACATCACAAGCTCCTTAATTCGTCGTTTCTTAGGATCAGGTAACCCATCAATCTGTTCATGCAATTCATCGTCACGATTGCGCTTCTTTGGTTGAGTGACCGGATGGTTTTGTGGTGGTGGTGGGTCGTTGCACAAACAATTATTAAGTATTCCTAACAACAGCATATTGTGCAACTCGACTTTACGGTAATAATTTTATAAGTAAAATGAATTCTTGCTCATTAACAGGCATTCAAATAATACGAAAAGAACTTAACATACGATGCTCTCTATCTAAAGAAGGCCTCACGATTCGCTCAAAATCTTGGCGACGAATTTTACAATAAATAAATTTTTTGAAAGCGTCCCAGTAGGGATGAGCATTATCTCCTAAAAATTCTGTTAGTTGTTGCTTTATCTGATAGGTATCTATTCGAGTTTTCCCTATCCCTATATAAGTTACATGGTCAAAACGCTCGTCATGATCTGGGAGCGGACGTTGCGGTGAATCGCCGTTTCGACGAACATTGTTCATCAATGCGGGCATCGGGATATTTGCCTGGGTCATTTTTGTTTTTCCTTTTTGCGCGCTACTAGAACCTGGCAACGTGCCGTTCACAGCATTTGATGACATTGGCATTTTAGAAAGGTTTAAGTGACAAGACGAAGATTTCGTACAGCTTTAGAAAGTCGAAAATTACTTTATGAGGATGATCATGTGTGCTGATTAGACGTATTATTTATAGTTCCACGAATTTGCGGGGCTGATATACGTGTAACATTTTATGACATTGATTGGCTGCTTTAACATGTAATCATACGTGCTATCTTTTTTGCCATCGCATTTAATATGTAATCTAACCTAACATACGTATTAACTTGTATATATATTGGTATGGAACAAAAGGCCAAACAATCATTCGTAATTGCCATCTAATTACTGGATATATATTAAGATAATTCAAAGCTAAAATTATTAGACATCAAACATGTTTTAGTTATTGATGCGTATTAGACAAATATAAAAAAATTTTTTGGTAAATATTAAAAAACAAACAATTGCATTGTCAGATTCTAAGATTATTTTTTGAATTAAATTGCATAATTCTTAATGTTAAATTCGATTATACCATTGTATATAAATTTGTACTATAATTTAAATTTTATATAAAAATATACTGTATACTATATATATAGTAATTTAAAGTAGCAAGTTTAGAATATATAAGGCTATATTAATTTAATTAATTATTTCTCAAGTCAAATTTTGCAAAATTAAAATTAAAATTAAAAGTCAGGTTGCCAAATTATTTTAAAACTTCATATTATAAAAACCAAAAATTATATTTGTATACTATATAGTCTATAATATACAAGTATTATAAAAAGCCAATTAGATAATATAATTAAATATAATATAAAATTCTTGTTATTATTTTTTACTTTAACAATTCTGTTTTTTATGTTTAGCTTTATTGAATTATATCTTATATATTAATAATATTATACTATATTATTGTTTTGCTTTTGTCGAATTTTTCTTTGTTTTGGAAGTTTTTTGCTCCAGCCTGCTTCTAACTTT